AAAACAGGGCGAGTGTAGTGAGAGGAGGAAAATCCCTACTCTGGAACCAAGAACTGCTGCGGATAGGATCCAAGATGCTGTTCCTTACATGATTCCCAAAGGGAGCCTCTGTCATCCATCGCCGCCACCACGGCCCACAGTCAGCTGACAGATACTGAGAACCTACTGTGTGCCAGGCACCCTAGGTGCTGAAGGGCGTCCCAAGGCCACTGCGCTGATGTTTCCTTGGTCTTCCCCTCTCCACAAAGAAGCCAAAAGGATGAAGCCCCGCTGTTCTTTCTGGCCGCAGCCATTTCTTATTTAAACACCCTCAAGTCTGTCCCCTATAATAAAACTAATATGAAGTGTCAAACAAGTATTTGTAAATAGGGAAGGGGGGGTGAAGGGAGGGCAGGGACAAGGGGAAAAAATGAAAATCAAGACCTGTCATGTAAAGGTACAAGAGCCCAATGATGAATGCAACTTTACTGTATCCCTAACATGTATTAATAAACTTAATGAGAGAAAAAAAATCCCATTAGGGCCTGGGATTTAGCTCAGTGTTCCAGCACCTGCCTCGCAAGTACAAGGACCCAAGTTTGATCCCTGATACCAAAAAAAAAGAAAAAAAAAATCCCATTTAAAGATTTTTCTCCATTGACAGTTTAGAAAGTTTTCTAAAGCTTATCTGGAAATACAAACCACCAAGACTAACAAAGGAGGAAATGTAAAGACAATGAAGTTAAGGAACTTTTCTTAATTATAAGATTTGTCATAATGCTACAGAAATTAAAACAGAGTTATGCTGGTTCAGAAATTTAAAAAATCAGTGGAACAGAAAAGGGAGCTCAGAAATAGACTTTCATTATTATAATTTAATATGTGCTTCATTGATTACTGAGTTTATATTATATAGGCACTTTCAGGGAAAGCTTTTAAAATAAAATAATGAATTGTGGGCTTATACAACTTAAAAAGCAGTGTTATAATATTTAAAGACACAAATCTGGAGTCAGATGCCTACATCCCAACCTCAGATGTGGCATTTATGGGCTTTGTTATTTTTGTGCAATGAGTTTGCATGTGTGTCTCAGTTTCTACTTCTAGAAATTGAGGATAATAATATCAAAATTTTCTCAGATATTTTTGTGGACTTAGGAGTTAAAATGCATAATATATTTAAATGAGAAACTGACACAAATAAGCTTAATGTGTATTAATTATTATCAATATCAAAATAATAACTAATTATAGTAAATATTATGATATGAGAAAAATAAATGTGTAATTTTACTTTGTACCACACACAAAATCATTTCCAGATAAAATAAAAACCTAAGAGAAGCAAGTCTAATGATACTTAATTTCTCCATTTGAGAAGAGGAGGTGCTTTTTGCTGAAAACCATTTAAATTGTTCTGCCATTTGACAAAAAAATCCTAAAATTTTCCACTCACTTCCATGTTTACAATAATTTTGTCATTAAACTAGCAAACAATTATTTTAATATATATTTGCATTCCAGTAAGTTTTACAAATTCTAACAAATTCACCCATGCTGTATTAGCTCAGTCATTGTGGAGACACAACACCAAGTTCTAACAACTTAAAGGAACCGAGGTTTAATTTGCTCAAGGTTTCAGTTCTTGATGGCTTCAAAGCAGAGACACTGTGGTAGAAGGTGTGGTAGAGCCATAGTGCATAGCTGTTTTTTTTTCAGGTAGGCCAGGACTTAGAACAAGGGAAGTGTCAGAGAGGACCAGGCAAGGAACTATGTCTACTTCACAAGATCACTCCTCCATGACCCTTTCAAACACACCCGGGGGAATTCTTTACTGATCTACTAGTCATTGTTTAAATTCCATAAAGCTGACAAACCAGGCTTAATGGTATCCCCTCCACTTATTTAAGTAATTATCATGATTCAAAGAAATAATACTGTGTTTCATTTTCCATAAATATTTCCTGACTCAACCAAGTTCAGTTATTGCTTTCCTGTAGTCTAACACTGTTCAAAATGGTCATACAACAATCATCACAGGCTTTTTTTCATAGAACTTTTTGAATTATTTGGTGATTAAAAATTCTAAGTTTAAAAGAAGGCACAGTGTGGTGGATTAACAAATGGTCATTTTAAATGAGAATGCCCAGCCGAACTGAGTCAGCTTTGGTCTGGGGGTGGAGGATTGTTTGCAATGCCATACAAGGAAAATGGGAGGTAAAATAGAGAAGATGGCATGCTGCTGATGTCCCGGAGGAATTTGTTGTGGCTGGTCTTCTTGAAAGGAGCTGTATTTTTGTTGTTGTTGTTTTGTTTTGTTTTTCAGCTTTAATTTAATTTATTGGTACATTTTAGGGATACACTACAGTTACATTCATCGGGATCTTGTACCTCTATATGACAGGTCTTGGTTCTCATTTTTTCCCCTTGTCCCTGCCCTCCTTTCACCCACTCCTCCCCTCTCCATCTTGAGCTGTTTTCTTTTTTCCCAGGAGCAGCTCGGGTCCTCGTTGTCACTGGAGATGGCTATTGTTGTCTTCTGGGGAGAGCTCTGGTCTTCACCTTGATCATTTCCTGACTCCAGTGCAGATCCTTCAGCCTTCTGGTACAGATTTTTCACCCCATCAGTGCAGGCCTTCTAGCTTCCACCACTGGCCTTTGGGCCTTCCCCGTGCAGATCCTTGATATGGACTTGTGGAGGACACTACCTTGGCTCTTGACCTCTGACTGGACTCATGCAGGAACTTTTCCTGGGATTCAGGACCTTGACTGGATTCTTTGGGTCTCTAGCTTGTGGAGAGCTCTTTTGTATTCTTCTACATTTTACTATTGGGGAGCATATTATGAAATCATCCTATAAGTTATATATCCTGTATTAAATCTATTCTCTTAAACCACTGACTACAACACATAGCTAAGTTTACTTTTAGAAAAATAAGAAAACTTCTAGTAGTTACTAAATGAAGATCTGGTAAAATACTCTCCATAAGCCTCAGCTTTCTAATTAACAATATAAGAATAATAATGTCTGTTTTATACTGGATTTAACCTCAGTAGAAGCAATGTATCTAACAGAACTTAACATTTCAATTTTTTTAATAAACATTAACAGAAAGCATTGCAGCATATCTACCAATCTACCATGACACCATTCAAAATATCTTACACAAAGAAAATTTACTAAATATTGTTTGTTTGGGAAGTAGCTTCATAAGTTAAAGTTCAATGTGCCCGATTTTCAGTGCATTGGCTTTTGAAAGGTCTGAGGACCAAATGTCATTTCTTTTCTTCTTGTTTCCATGCATTTTGTACTACACAATGATATGCAATTTTAGAATTATTTGGGAGGGAGTCTGTTTTCTTCTTTGTATTGCACCTGCATAATTATAAGATAAAATTTAAAGGATAAAGAATCACTGGAGCAACAGATTTTGCTTTTGTGTGTGAAATATATTACAACTAATGGTCTTAGGTACTTCAGAATGTTTTCATTAAGTAGCAATACATTATTGTAAGTATCGGTGCATTATTTTTGTTGTCATTGTTATTATATTGTTTGAATTTGAAAAATCCTTCTACTATGCCTGGAGTAGAGATAAATTACAGATTTCCAGTGGCTTCAGGTCACAAACTTCTGCAAGGAAAAATTTCAACCACTAGCTTCCTGATGCTTACTGATATCAAAGTAAACCATGTTTTAGTAACTGAATTCAGCAGAAATGCTTTTCAAAATTTCTCCCTTTAGCGACCAAAGAAGAAACATATAATGTACTTGAGTTTATTTCAAAAATGAGCACTCCACCTTCCTCTTTGGATTGGCAGAGGGGTTGAAGGGAGGGCAGGGGAATGAGAAAAACCTAAGAACCAAGATATATCATGTAAAGGTACAAATTCCCAATGGTGAATGTCATCATATTGTATACCTAAAATGTACCAAGAAACTTGATGAATTATAAACAAATGAGTGCTCCAGTAAAGCTTGAGTTTTAATTTCATCACTGGGGCTCCTAGGCATGTTTAACTGCACAAGAAATATTTAAAACAAATAATCCCAATCACCACTTTGTTGCTGTAGAACGTGCTATTTTTCTACCTTTTTCTTTTACTCTTATTTTCTATGGTAAGGAGGGTGGGTACAATTTCATCTGAGTTGTTATAAATACAGAGAAATATAAACTTTATTTACCATTATTTGAAAACAATATATTTGATTTATTTAAGGATTTTGATATACCTATATTTCACAATATTTTTGTTGAGTTTGTCAAGTGTTCTCTAAGAAACTAAGAGCCTGGCTTTGGGTATTTTATTTTCTTTGAATATATGTATTTTAATGGGATCTATTTTAAGTTTTAAGATAGATCCAATCAACATCTGCATGTAAACCATGAGCTTGCATTTTAGAAAGCATGAATTGCTAGCTTGCCTCTGTTTCAGTATAAACAGGGAAATCACTATTTCTTAGTCAATTTCATTTAACTTTTATCTACATTTAACTACTAAATGTTCTTTTACTTACTAAGCCTAAATTTTTCTCCCTAAAATTTCTACTAAAGCAAGTTTGTACTTAATGTTAGAGCCATTTAAAATAAACCAGGGATTTAGCTTGGTGGCACCAAACTACCTTGAAAGTGCAAGGTCCTGAGTTTGATCCCAAGTACTACCAAAAAAAGAAAAAAATAAATAAACCTTTGACTTTTCCTTCACTGGAATGGGTTAAAGAACATCAGCTGAACAACTAGTAGTGCTCCCACAACAAAATTGTATCTTCACTCTCCTAGGTGTCTTATTTACGTTATACCATTTTATTCTCACAAAAGTTTATTGAACTATTTTCACCCCATGATTTTACAAAATGAAAACCCAGGTCACAGATGCTAATATTAAATCTCAACCACCATAGATTTTTCATGACTTTTTAATCTAAGAAAATAGCATGTAAATTTTTTATAAATGGACAATTTCACCTCTTGCTTAATATCGTAATTTATATGCATTATATGCTCTCTGCTTTTATTTAGTTTTTCTAGATTCATCTTTAAAATAAGAGAGACAGCAAGAGAAGAACAACTGAAGGGAGAGGGGAGAAGGGAGGTGACTTAGAAGGGAGGAAAGAAGGAAAAAGTGAAAGGAAGAAAAGAAAGGAAGGAAGCAACGTCCTTGCATTTTAAATGGTGAGATAGAGGGAGACAGAGGGTGGGGGAAATTTCATTGCTATCTTTTATTGACTACGTGCCAGTAAATATAATTTAGGGACTTTAAAAGTTGGCAAATTTCTAATAATATATTTCTGATGTACTCATGGCTCCTGGCTTCTAAGAATATTATTAGCTAAGATGTACTTGTATGCAGCATGTGAGACCAGAAAACATTGAAAATGGTGTTGCTTATTCTAAACATTCATCATATATTTGATAATTTATTTTATGGATATTTTATTTTCCAGCTAAGGGCAGTGAGTATAAGAGGAAGCTCCTGACAAAAGAGGAGGACGAGAGAAGTGACAAGTACAGCCTGCCAGACAGGAAAGGACACCTAAGCACACGTGCTGTCACTTGTGTATGGAACACGCTGCTGTCGTGTGTGAAGACTGCCTTAGGGGTGGTGATTGAAGCAAAGGCTACCTCTGTGCAGAGTTTTGTTTGTGTTTTCATTGTAGTTCACACTGAAATTTATTTCTGCTGCTATTTTTTTTTAGATAATGTAGGCAAGTAGTTGGTGAAAATATTGATGTTTATTCTAGACACTCTTTATATGCTAACAATTTAATATTTTATTTTATTGACATTTTATTTTCCTGGTTAGTATAAATTGTTTAATATAAGACTCATAATAGTAAAATTTGCCATCAATAGAAATATTCCTAAAAAACAAACGTGGTATCACATACCCACTATAATGTGACTTTCCAAAATTTTACTATGAAGCCCCTATTAAACATCGGCATCTATAAAATTAAGCATCATACACACAACAGAAAAGATATTTTAAACATTTATAGTCATTGAAAACTACTCTACATTGTTATTATGCCACCTATTTTTCTATAAGTTTTACATTTTGAATTATGTCCAATATTATTAATGATATTGCTGCCTTTCCAGTATTATTTTAGATTAGATTAATATATTTTAATCACAGAAAAATATATATTGCTTGCAATAATAAAGATTCATTCTCATGTCTAAACAGCTTTTACTGCTTTCAAATAATTTCACATACTTAGGCAACATGTTGGTATTTGTTACTCTGTAGTAAATATTGCCTGGCACAAATCTTCAAACTTCACCTGTATTTATTTATGTAGTCACCAGAAGCTTTATGTAAATAGATACTGCTATTCTCCTTTTAAAGATGCTGCTGTAGCCACTGAAATGTTAAGGGACATAAACAGGCAAAATTTGTTGATAGCAGTTCCTGGGCTGGAATCTATGTAGACACGAGAGACAGTGCTTTTATTCCTCAAGATTCAGGTAAGTATGCATTATTTTCACTGTCCATAGTCCTTAAACATTGGGGTTATCTAATGCACCATTTGTTAGTTAATAGCTCATCTTGATAAAATCAATGATGATTATTGATTATAGATGTCACTAGGTGTTATACTGTCTTCAAAAACACATACTTGTACACACATGTACACACACACACACAAACAGAACCATTCCTCATTCACTCTCAGGTTTGTTAACTATAGGAGGCAGACGGCTTATTGGTTAGGGATAGATAATCCTAACACTGTGTGAGTGTGTGTGCTTGTGTGTGTGTGTGGTCATAAATCACCAACCATCATTACTTCTAGATTCCTTTCATTAGAATTCTTAAAAATTAGACTGATAACCTATTTATTCAACATTTTTTCATTAAATTCATTTTAAAAGAAAAATAAAAACATAAAATGGACACATTTGTTGGCTACTGTATGACTTTTTATATATTATAGTTATCTGCAGTAACCCTATTGTGAAATAGCACACCAGAACTTCTTCTTCCTTACAAGCGTCTCAAACTGGGACATGAACATTAGCATTAACAATGTCACATGGGACATTTAGAAATAGTAGAAACTTGGGTCTTATCTCAAATCTACTAAATCTAAAATCCTTACCCTATCAGTGGTGAACTTATGGCTGCATTCCACAGCACGCATGCAGAGCACTCTCTGTCGACATTAGAGCCAAGTTGACCCAGCAGCCAAGCTGGTAACAGTAGCTTTTCAAAACTAAAACCTCAGCATCCGGATTTAATTGCAGTGTGAGCACTTTGCAATAAGTAAATGGGCTTTGAGTTGCAATTTGGACACTTGGTCTCTAAAAGGTTTGTCATCCTGTTCTACAAGATCTTGAGTGACTCATATATACTTAAATTTTAATAAGCATTTCTTCAAAGTGTCCAATGGACCCTACCTCCCGATAGCTTGCATTTTTCTGTTCTAGCCAATATGGCGTCCCTTACTGACAAATTGCCCATGTGGAAGTGGATATTATTTGGAATGTTGCTGAAATAGAATAATTCTATTATCACTGATAGTTCTTTTAAAACTTCTACTCCGGAGGGATGGTAAATTTTTGGGGGGGTGTATTGAATACAAAAATAAGTATTTTATGATTTTTGATCTATGAAAGGTTTCTTTTGCTGCTCATGTTCCTTTTCAATTCTCTTCCTCTTCGTCCTTTAAATTTTTCCTTTAAAAATTTTAAATCTAAATGTACTTCTTAAATCCTGGACAATACAAAAATGAGCTGGATTTGGTCTACAGAACCTATTTTATAGGTGTATAATCTTTGTCATAAGTTAGTAGATGAAACATGTTCGATTAACAATAGTTATAAAACATAAGTGAAAAATATTGTGTGTTGACTCACAAAGCTCTAAAGCCAAAGGAAAACACACCAAGAATAGCTACTCCAAGATGGGAGGAGAGATACAGTACAGCAGCACGTGTAGACCTATGATGTCAAAGTAGCTGAAGTAATAGTCTATTCCTGGCCCCTCTCTACAATGATTTCAGATCCCCACAAACATTAAATATTTTATACTCGAAATATTAGCAGATTTTACAAAATTCATACCACTTCCCCTGGGGAATGAGATTCTCTTTCATCCTATAATCTTAGTTCTAAATCCATCAAAAAGCAATGCCTACTTGAGGTTACACTAATAACAAAGTTCCCTTGGCAGTAAAGTGTCTCACCATATTTTGTATGTGTGTGTATCTATCTATCTATCTATCTATCTATCTATATATATATTTTTTTTTTCTACCAGGGATTGAACTCAGAACTTTGCACTGGCAAGGCATGTGGCAGTACCACTGAGCTAAATCTATGGCCCTATTTTATACAAATTGTAAAGGGATAAAGTAACTCCAGAGTTATATAAGATCCAAATTCATGTGTGTGTGTGTTTATTTATTTTCAGTGGCAAACACTGTAGAGAGTGAGGCATTGTTTCATCCAAAGTTGCAAAAACTCTGAGTCTAGTTTTTAGACCCTAGGATAGTCTTCATACGTGAAGTCTACTCTTCTGTAAAGAGACTTTTATTCAGCTTATACATTCTATATTCTGGTGTTTCTAGGCATAACTAACTTATTCAGGTGGTATCTTTACCATCCATATAGTAATCATAGACATAAACAAAACAAAAGTAAGATGAATTTGTAAAATATTTCTAATCATATTAAATATCATATTTCAAATTTGAAAAGCCATAACATTTGAATGATAAAACAACAGAAATAATCTATTTTACCATTTTAACCAATCTTTAAAAATTTTACCAATCTTTTAAAATAGTATAGTAGTGATTATACATCTCGCTCCCTTATTCAGATTCAACATCTTATGCTGGTTGATTTTGCTGAAACCTTCCCTGTTATTTAAAAATGGCTATTACCTTTACTTGAGAATAGGATTTTGTATGTAGGAAAAAATTCTCCTATTCAACTTCCTTAAGTTATTTGTCTGATTATGTAAATTGTAAATGTTTTAATAATGCAGCTATATGAAATAAATAATGCTACTGACAGCTAATTATATTGTAAATTGCATTATAGCATGTTTGCTATTTCAATTTCACTCCTCAGCCAGGAGGTATGAAATTTGTACTTAAGCATTCAAATTATAATTACTTTAATAAATGTGCCATATCTTGCATATATTTCCAGCTTCCTATTCATTATCATAATTGAAACTGTTGCAACAAAAACTAACTTGATTCTTTCATATCAAAAGATAATTGAATTTAAAAGAAAAACATTTAAATGGAAAGTTATTAACAGCATTGGAAACACACTTGTATAGTTTCAGTGTAAAGATACAAATTAACTAAATTCTATCCAGATGTTGTACATGGTTTACCATAAACTTTTCATTAATTTCTCTTCAAAATGTTAGACCAAAGAAAAATGGAAGATATATATACATATAAATAAATAATTTGGGCCAAAAACATGAAAAATATAAAATATTACATGAAGCCAAGTAATGTACCACTCATGGGTGAGAAAGAATGAAAAAAAAGTCCAATTTATACACTCATTGCCTTGGCAATAAAACGAATTTGTTCCCCATAAAAGCCGCTCATTAATTGAGGCAGCATTCATACTATATAACTCAGAAGATTAGAAGAACATTTTCAACAAGTTGACATAGCTGAAACAGATAAAAGCCCAGGAAGCAGTAAGACAAAATATTGCATATGTCATGTTACTTAAGGATTATAGCGTGAAAAGTTTTATTTTCTATAACCTTTAACATTTCTAATTTAATTCAATTTCTAATTTAATTTAATTTAATGAGCTGCATGTTCTATAAAAAATAAAAAGCTAACATATTATAAAGCCTCACTGTCTGGTTCCTAGGTTGACAACAAGTGCACATTGAAGCTTATATAGATTAACTGGTCATTTTGAGATTGCAAAATTTTGCAGCAAGCCTGTAACATGATTTGTGTCTTAGCATTGTACTTCTTATGGAACATCAGCAAGACAGGAGAAAATGTACCTTAAAGCTCCAGCCCCTGTGCAAACTTTATCCTGAAGATCTAGTGAGTTTCCCTAATAGAGAACATTTTGGAAGTGTAACAATTTTTTTTTTTTTTTTTTTTTTTTTTTTTTTTTTTTTTTTTTTTTTAGTTGAGACTGGCCTGGAATTCACTATGTAGCTCAGGTTGGTCTCGAACTCACAGTGATCCTCCTGTCTCATCCTCCTGAGTGCTGGGATTACAGGTGTGCGCCACCAAGTACCCCTAGTGTAACAATTTTATTGAAGAATAAAGTCTGTTCTGTGTGTCTCCATGGGTTGAAGGCTCTTAGATGCTTGCATCTGGTTTCCTCCAGACTTTGCCTATGTGGTGATCTTCTGTTGACATTAGCAATGCATAATTTTGATATAATAAAGCTATAACCTCCCACAGGGGTAACAAGTTGTAAGTGTTTTGAGTCTTTCGACCCATCCTAAAATGAGATTAGCATATGAAAACTATTGTGATGGATAGAATTAGACTTGTACACATTTCTCCTTCATGCCACAATTTTTCCACATATTACTTGTCTAGAGCCCATTTTTACAATTGATTGTGGTACTACGTGTACTCTATATAGATTTTCACAACCAAGAACTAAGAGTATTCTGTCTATGGTCTTTTCTAATTATATAC